CAGACACGCATGAACGGAGGAGGGCTTCCATGAGAAAACAGTCTCAAACATACGATAGCTTTATATGACAAACTCAAATTCAATTATTGCATATACATATTATGAATGCTAAAAGTCGTCGCTATTCTTTCTACTAGAGTTGCTTCTGTGTCTATTTGTGCTTGCCCGAGAACCCTAAATCGTCCTCGAAGCCAAAGTCGTTCCTTCATTGGCCCAACCAAAACGTAATTACGATGACAAATGCTGAAAAAAACCGAAGGGCCCGATAATATAATTCATTCTCCTGACTTTGCCCATGTGCAAAGGGTAAAATAACTCAACAAAACGAGAGCAAATAAAAATAAAAACTATTTATTCAGGGGTACATAAATAAACTGCATGCAAGTACACATTATACACTGCTACCTGTATACGCATAGCGAGTGTAAGATTTTTCGATGTGAGATTCATAAAATTTAGAAAACATATATATGTATACACACAATTCGAGATTAATCCTTGGAGGAATAGAGGTGATATTGAAACGTTCTTCCTACTGGAGCCGTGGGGCTAACGTTTATGCCACCACTTACAGTTCAAGCATACGTAAAAAAACGAATTTGGAAGATGTCATTTTGGGAAATACGTGGCTGAATCAGAAGTAGTGCCTCGATCAAGGGTGTAACATATATAGAAGAGCTTCCTCTTCGCCTTATATCTATTGCAAGTCAGGCAAGTTCTGTTTAATTAAATCACAAAGAGCTTTAATACATCACGCTTGAGTTTGCATCTGTAAAATAAAGTCGCTCAAAATTCTCCATGATAGCCTTAGACCCATTGAAGACCAATAAGGCTAGCCAAATGCCGAAGCAGGCTTCAGGTAAGGACAGCGGAGGAGACAACCAACTACCATAGCACAGTTATGTGTTAATATCACCACAAGTGCTAGAATTAGCAGCTGTCACCCATAAGACGATTTTCATACCGGCGAGACACTTGTTTTTCCTTCCTAAAAAAGCCGTGCTAAGTCGAGCAATTATTCTGATCAAGCCAAATCCCCCATTGCCTTAGTGAATGATTCCAAACGCTTGTATTCGAATAGGTAAACACAGCGAAATATCGCTATAAAACTCGCCTTGTACTGTAAAGTTTCTATTTCATTCGCTGAAACACCACATAGAAATGTGTAACGTTAATACCTTCCACGGTTTGTTTCCATATTTCGCTAACCCCATTGGCACTTATTCGGTACCAAATTAGCTTCGTGCCCCTACTATAAAATCTCTGACATAACAACGTGTGTTCAAACGACCCCTTAGAAAAATCATAAATCCTAAAGCGTCATAAGTGAAAGTTCCTTGTTGCTTGTTCGATTGGCCATTCAAGAAATGTCACAGATCTACTGAAGTGATATCTTCGCATAAACCTTATTGTCTCGATATACACTGTCGGAGCGTCCTAACTCACTGGGAAGACGCTTTGTTTCCGTAGCCTTACTACCCCCTTAAAAGATTAACCCCGGGCTTTAAAATGTGCTGTGTCAACAAAGAATAGATACCTTTTCTCTGTGTCCTGTGTGAATCCCGAGTCTCGATTATTTAAACCCGCTTGTTTTTCTTGGATTTCTGCTATTGTTTTTTTCAAGCGCCTCTTAATTTTTGAGACGAGGAAGGGGCGGAAACGGATCTATAAATATATTTAATTCAGTACCAATAGCCAACTAATTTCCTTCTGCACTTAGCAACATATCTCAATCGGCCATGTTAGAGGAGTTCTGTTCGAGGCTGACGCTTGAATTACGAATCGACGGGTCGACCTGTATAGAGAGCCAATTCAAAGTCTGGCCTTTATGGACCAATGTGAAACCGTTCTAGATAGATCTACATCGCTGCACCATTACAATGGTATGAATTGTAATGTAAAACAAGTAAATGTGAATGTGAATGTGTATCCTATATGTACGATGTAAGCCTAGGTCTTGAAATAGGGCAATCCGGTAACAGTTACTAAAGGGTACCATTACAAATTTGGTCGCAGTGTAGGTTAATTAGTTCATTCAGTCATTATCAAGAATTACCTACGGCGAAATATAATAAACGGCGAAAAGTTGAACTAAATAATTATATAGTTTATGTTTACACGGCTTGTGGATCGATCCATCAGTTCGCACCTGGCGGGTCTGAACGCCGGGTCGTATGCGTCCGAACGTTGTTCACACTCCGAGTCTATGTATTAAACGCTATTCGGGAGCATCTGTCACAAACATCAGACAGTATTAAAGAGTAGGCTCTCTGCTTCGCTAACTTTGCAATAGTGTCGTTAATCTACATGCTAGTTGGTTCTGATATTAAATCTAACACACTTTCTACACTATCTCCAGTTAGGGGACCTACAAATTATTCGTTTTCAAATTTGTGTACTTATTTCCCGTCATAGTTCTTGAACCTGATTATTTCCTTTCATCACTCGTCTCAGTTATCACCATCAACAACGAACCAGACCTTGCATCGGTTTCGGAAGCCCCCTTCATACGGGGCTTCCTATTGTTGCACGTTGTTTGATCAAGGGCAATGAACAACAGCTGACACTAGCAGCAACTGTAACGGTCACTTTATTGTTGTTGCACCATTTAATCTCGAGCATCTATTGCAAATCCGGTTTCGTTCATTTGATGGCGAGCCGGCTCCAATAACCGTTCCGCTATTAGACGAACAAAGCTCGTACCGGTCCAACATTATTTTTTGTGCGAAAAAATTGCAATAATCTTTTTAATGAGGAATGCGTATTTATTACTGTAAATAAAGCTTCCTTTTCTAAAATTTCCTCATAAGAATTCTTTTAACGGTAAACATATGAACATGTATTTGTACAAACAACGCAGGACACGCTGTTCATAAAAATCAAACGTCAATTAGAAACTGAACTTTGTTTTTCGGCGACCATATCTGTTAACTTAAAAGATACCCCATCTTTTAAAAGTTGAGAATGTGATCTGTCCAATATGGTCATCTAACCTAAGAATCTGTAAATTGAAACTCTGCTACTGGCTGAACTTAGCAACACAGTTTTTTTTTTCTTGCTTTTAAAAATTATTCGGTTGTACGAGGTTTCTCTCATAGATCCTATTCTGCTTGCAGAAATGCTGTTACATCTTGCTAAAAAAAACTGATATTCTGGGTACTCCTGCAGTTAACGGAAAGTTCACCGTATATAAGAATAATATGTATGAAAAAAAAAGAAAAACGAAGTTGAAGCACACTTACGTCATAGTTTGTTTCTTATTGAAGTTATCCTTGTGTAATTAAGGATTTCAGCCTACAATCCGTTTACGATCACCCTAATTATGAAGAGATGTTCATGAATTGAATAATCAGTAAAATTCGAGATTATTAATAATGACTGCAGCTGAATGATGTATCGATGGAATGAGAAGAGAATACCTGACACACACATATTTTTGTTAGCGACAGTACGACACACAAGCAAGAGATAATATATCTCGTTACATCGATTTCTTTCATTGCCGTTAGGCAAACGAAGTGCCCCATCTATAGTATAAGATACCAATTAGGTTGGGATTATGTCTTGATGGTTCCATATGATAAGTCCCAGTGCGAATAGGATCGTTTTCGACTCTGCTTTAATTGCATACGCCTTTAAAGAAGCGTTAATTCAATCCTATCTATTAACGTTAGTTAATTCAATGCCTATCTAAAAACCAGAAAATCCGTATTAGTGGATAAAAATGCTAAGATTCTATAAAACGAAACTAGAGTTCAAGGTTCCGTTATGTACATACTATCCGAAATCTCGATATAACAGTTAGAGACATAGATTAAGTCTAAGTAATATTGTATACGATAGTTATATGTTTGATGAGCGAAAAATATAAGTTTCAATCTGTTGGCTGCAAAAGTGATCCAAAACCGTATCTGCAGCGTGGGTCATGACACCAGATGTGTTAAACGAACACTGCGTGGATAAGGGTCAGCTAATAATGCTAAATCCTATATCTGATTCATTTAATTAACATTTAACTGCAAAAGCAATTGACTCAAAGGTTTTCGTCAAGTCATAGAAACTTCTCTAGAGTTTTTGCAATCGCTACCTTGCAAACGAATTATACTAATGGGATACGCTAACCTGGGATTTAGATAGCAAAACAACCAGGCTAAACTCTGCCTTTATCTAATCCATCTATTAGAATGTAACCTTGTCATTGGAAAACCATTAAACAACCTGAATCCGCCACCATATTTCGACACCGGTGTACTTGCAGGGTTGTATATAGGCCGAGCGCGAGCTTTCGCTTGGCTATACGTCATTAACATGAAACCCCTACAAAAGTTAATCCCTCAACTCTACATTTAACTTTCACGCCCGTATCATGTATCTAATACCTCTCGTTAACAGGCTGTTTCTACGCTTTCTTTGCATATCCGACAGTCTTGCTTTGCGTAGGCCTAATTTCAAGTAATAAAGCACTACAAATCTGTCGTTTCAACTATATGGCCTTCTCGGCATATTTTTATTGTTCCTAATAATCACACACAATGGGATACAACCAGCTTTTTTTTTTACTTTTTAGCTCCAGCACGTTTTATTTAGCGTGACACGACTGAATTTTTTATGCATGAACTTGTTTTACATGGACCAATCCCGTGACTGCCTGCTTCCCTCGACCGGACCCCTGGTCCCTTTCTCCTCAGTGGACCATTCATTACCGGGCTCCGGTGCTCGACCCATGTGCCTCGTCCGCCGTCTCTCTTGCAGCCGCTATAAGAACCAACAACGGCTGCATAGCTCATTGATGCTTGCCTGCTGCTTCAGGCGCTACCGGCAGTGTGGTTCGCGCGCGCGGATCATTTAAAAAGGCGCGCTAAGTTCAAACTGGGCCGTGCGCATGCGCCGCTCCGACCAACGAACACAGCGCTCCAAGCGGCCGTCCGACGAGTGAGTTATCATAGCCACACACTGTGAAGCGGTATGAAGTCAGTTGTGAGCAGCAGCCCTCAGCCGGAGAAGACGACTGCCTGTTGTTTGGCTGAGTGCTGGCTAGCGATCGTAGTCACCGTGCACTGTGTGTCTGGCCGTCTGTGTGTGTGTGTGCCATCGTAATCTATGGTTGGGGCTCTACTCTACGTACGTTTCGTCGTCAAGTTGGTTTGCCGCCCTTTAGTGTCTCCTGTGGGCAAGTGTGCTTTCCGGCTGATTCCGTTTGTGAGAGTCGTATCAAAGATACGACGACAGCCTTGCTCGCTAAATCAGTCAGTTGTGCTGTTAATCTACTGTGGCGAGTCCCGCTGTTGATGAAGGAGACCGAGAGTTCTATTCGATGTGTTTGGTGAATAGCAGTGATGAGTCGCTGTCACTCTCTTTGTTGATTGCATGTTGTAGCCTAGCAGGACTTACTTACTCGCGCGAGGGACGTCAATGAACCTAAGTCAGTGAGTATTTCCAGTGTTGAGGGTGCCTGCTGCCGTGCACGGGTTGCACTTGTTATTTATTATTATTGTTGTTGTCATTGTTATTGTTCTTTCTCATGTTCAGCCTACTATCGCCCTATTGAAGTATTGTCGTGAAGTCGCGTGCTCGGTGTGGGTGTGCCTTTGACACTGTCGTCTCGTACTGTTTTGCTCGAAGGGTTGCCGGCGACTTTTTCTATCATGTGGTAGTTGTACTATTAGCTGAACGGCTGCTGTTGCAGTACAAAACACCTAATCGGAGTCCAGCGTGCTCAGTGTTGAATGCTCCACTTTGTATCGACGGCGCTAACGGCTGTAGCGGCAATCGAGGTGATCTCTGTGCCATTAACCGTGTTAGATTGCCACCAACCAAGATAGTACGAACCGTCGTGGTCGAGTGGAATACTTCAAAAGTGACAGTAATCTGTTTACATTCTTAGGACAGCAGCAGTGGCGGCAGGAACAAGGCGCTGAGGCCTGACCAGCTAAGCAGCGATTTTTCTTGGTTTAATACGATGCACACCAATGGATGGGATGTGACAACAGCCCAGTAACTTTCCACACTGCTCAAGATTCGAAATAAGTTACGGCTCTATGTGCGTGTACATACGTCGCTTTTAGAACGAAGCGTCCACCGAATCGATTACAATAGCAACAAGTTGCTATCTGCTATCTAACAATTTGAACAAAAAAAAAAGTCATCCCGAACTAAGACAAGTGACAGCAGTCAAGGGGCTCCTGGCGGGAGGACAACGGACTGCGAAAGATTTCTGTCTTCTCCTGCTCGATTTCGATCCGGCTATATCAGGATAGCCTTGTTTGTGAGAGCTGTGTGTTTTTGGTCTGCACGCACATACTGTCGTTGTTATCAAGCACGACAAAAAAGTGCAACGCTTTGGATAAATTCCTTAAAATCTCTACGTAGATTAATGAAGATATGTGTTTGTGAATGTCGTGGCTTGAAGACCGAAGGAGTGATCACAGTTGTGATTGGTGCAGTAGTAAGAATAAACAATCATATTAAATATAGAACAGTTCGAACGGCAAAAAAAGTGATTGCGACGGAACGTTGGTCGTGAGTCGGCGTTGCCGTGTGTCGGTGCTAATTTGCCCAACGTCACCGAAGCCGCGGTAGCCAAAGGCGTCCAAATCACAGGCGACAGTAACAAGACAAATAAAAAGAGAGGCCATTGTCAAAGGCTAACGGAAGAGGCGAAAAAATTGCACCAAATCAGTAACAACCCACCGCTGCTACCGCCGAAACGAACAACTCCACCGTCACCTTAAACACAAATTGGTTAGTGGCGCTTTGTCCTATCTGTTTTTCCGCCGACGGCAAAAGCACCATAACTGGCTCCTTGTTTTCTTCAATTACCTAGGCTGCAGTAGAGCTATCAACAACTCGAACGACAATAGCCCCTATTCGTGCTACTGATCCAAGAAAAACAAATGGTAGATTAGCTCACCACTTCACAATAAAAGCAGAACGACCCTACACCTTATATTAGATTACTAATAATACCAATAGAAGGCAGACGAATTCTCATCAGCGGTTCCCTGTTGCATCTTGCCTGCAGCAACAACAACAACACACTGTCCACTTGTCAGCGATAGATGGACCACGGTGGTTAGGACACTCATCGAAATTTTCTCTGGGTCGGGCCCACGCTAATGATAACTGAACAAGAAAAATCGTGCAGCTTTAATTGATTGATCCATGTGGGGTTTAAGAAAATAAAACGCTAGAAGTAGACGACTGGAAAAACATAAGAACAAGTTGTTGGGTCTTATATATATATATATATATATATATATATACAGAGAGATCACAGAAGAAGAGTTAGTGGCCTGTGAGTGTATTTTTCTGCGCATGCACAAAACAAGCGGATTTCGTTGTGCAGGTTATTTAAAAAACACCCATCCTTTAGGACGAGCACACAGAGGTGTGTATTCATATTGACTGAAAGGAGTGTCGGTGAGGTGTATACGTGTGACGAGCATAACGTCAAGCTTAAAAGTGTGCCGCACTCAGAAGTGGCTTGAGTCTACCCAAAAATTCACAGTTATTCATTGCTATAACTAAGCTAAAAATAACATAGCGAAACCCAAACAAATCGGATTCTATGAGTGTGTGTCAGATTGACGGATATCTAGCCATGCTGCCCAGGGTTGGGCTTGCCAGTCAGAGGTAGGTGTATAATAATGTAGATAGTACTAGTTATGTTGCCACTTGCTCGCTTTATACTACAGGTGCTAGTCGGTCGTCCATTATTTAGTTGCTTACTTCCTTTACACAATAATATCTTAGCGTCAGCATGAACACGTACTGTTTTTTACAATACCTACACGTCGAACGGGCAGAAAACAAGGCTTGTTAGATTGTTCTCCATGAACAAACTCCCATGCCCCTGCCTGAAATTTGTGGTAATTTCAGCTTGAGTAACCATGCGTCGACCTGTGTAGAAAGACAGCCAGGTCTGATAGCATAAGTTCAACTCGATGGCTGGACTCAACGATACAACGTAGTATTATGCTTTGGTCTAGAACGTGTTTGCTTTTCGCTTCGGTTGTAATGATCTGGTAAGGTACACGAAATTTTCGTGTCACCTTTCGGTGTCAAGCATCCGTCCACGACTACTATATTCTACTGTGTACCTTACTTTCTGACGTCGCTACTCGCAGGATCAAGGCTAATGTACGCCATCAGGCCTCTACGCCTGCGCAGCCACTGAGCAGAGCTACCGATCGACCACTTGTTGCTCTCGCAGGGACAGCACCGCCGGGTGGCAGGCTCATCCTGGCAGGCGCAGGTTTGGCCTACCTGCGAATCGGCTTAGCCTGTTGGCCGTACATGATAACGGAGAGGGAACAAGCCATCAGTGCGTAGGTGCCATAGCTAAGGTCGAACAATAGTTGGCTGTCCTTAGACAACGGCGCCAAATGCAAATGCAAATGGAATGGTGCGTACCCCCATTATTGTTAACGCTGCTCTATGCCACTTGTTCAAACACTTGGCTTCTACCCAGTCGACCCACATATGGCTACTGTCTTGCTATGGAGGAGCATACGATGGATGTGGGTTAATGCGTAGACGAACTGGGTCGACCGTCCAGTTCAAACGATGTAACATTTTAGTCATGCAACAATCAATAGCTATCAAAATGAACAAATATTTCTCCCTAACAGACGAAATTTTCTCATTTTACTCACATATACTATATGTGTTACGAGTAATTATTGTTGTAAGAGTAATCTAGTTAAGAGTAATTATTTTGAATATTTAGTGCAGGCGAACTAATGAGGGACAAAAGAAACGCCCGCCTTTTTGTAACTGTCACTACTTCGAAACTCAGAGAACAGATCTATCCGTCAAAATATACAGAGTTTGTATAGAGCTGCACTGCGTTGTAAGAAGTAAGCCGAGTAACGCATTTCGGTTAAGCAGGTTTTAATGATTCGACGAGGTGTTTTTGTACAAAATAGTTAAGCACACTTTTAGGGATGGTCAATTTGGAGCAGGAGTTATGCCTCTGGGGGCAAATACAAAAGGCGGTTCCCACGTCGAATAATAAGTGATCAGTTAGTATATGCCTTGATCAAAGTGGGTAGGCTTCTCGGCTCCTTAACTGATTTGTTAGCTAGATAAGCTAAGTTTACTCATTTGATCCATCTATACGCGTGTCAATTTTATTATTGATACTTGTGCCGTTTGTGGGAACTGCAAAAACCCCTATGGGGAATTACTGCTAAGGCTGTAGTAGATTTACTATTTGCAATGTTGGCGGGGTTAGTGGTATTTGTCAATACTGGATAACAGCGGTGGCTGGTTATTGGTAATTCGGCATTATCGACAAGTAACAAACGAGCGCGCCGTACCAAGAGCGATACAAACGTTTACACAATAAAATTTATAATCGAAATGTATTAAGCTAGATAGTTGTTATGAGGTTTTTCTCACGTCCATCGCCCGGGTAGGTGCGGCATAGTCGAGTCCGCCCACCTAGAAGCAACCGATGATGCAGCTTGGTAGGTTTGCGCGTGGTCTGAGACCCGACCAGTTGGTTCGTTTTCGAATGATTCATTATGAAAGTGATTGTACCGGGAAGCTGGAAATTTCATAGAACGGTCACGTATCACGTTCCCATCATCTGTGAGGCGGAAATCTGTTGTGAATAGTCGTCAAGCCATTTGCTCAAAATGCGAAAGACATCTGAAAAAAAGGCGTCCAGTGTTGCAGGAACATAAAGTCAACAGATGTAATCCGTACGCTATCTACGAACGGAGTCCGTTTAGAGCGAACGCGTACCTGTACCTATTTGAGCTAGGTAAATGCAGAGTGGCGCCAATTTCTTAGCATTACGTGTGCAAATACAATTACAAGAAGTGGGAGCAAGCTTCGACATGCATTCTTTTTATTTGCACAATCCGCAAAGACGTCAGAGATGAATGAGTTCTTAGCAGTACAACGTCTCAATGTGTATGCTCCGAAAATGTCTATTGCATGCTTTAATGAATCCCGTAGTTACTGTAGCTCACAAGCGACCGATAACAAGCAGCCCTGGTTCATTCAACAGGACCAGTTTCTATTGAGCGCTTCATCCCCTTTGAGAAACCTGGGTCTTATCACGTGCTTACCAGAACACTTGCCTCAACACAAGATTTACAGTAGGCTGCATTGAGAAGCTGCATCGCAGCATTTTATCGGCGGTCGCTTGTTAATAATTTTCCTTGTGGGCGTTGTTGTTGGTGACGACGGTGATGATGATGACGTGTTACAATTTTCCTGCTTGGGCGACGGCCTTATGTATGCTTCTGTCTGTTTCCTCAGCTCCTCGTTCTGCTTCACTTCGTCACGATACGATTCAGTCCGTTAGCGGCTGTTGATATTGTGAACAATCTCCATATCAGCAAATCTTGCCAAGATCTCTTTCCGCGAGCCACAGGCGACTTTCACCAGAAGCAGACGATTTATACCGGCGATTAAAACGGGAGGGCGAATGCAAAACGGTTTCTCCCAGATACAGTGGCCGTTGATGCTACTCCCGTTGCTAAGTTCGCCGACGGCCAACCGAGCTCTAAGCAGTTCAATCTTCGATGATTACTGTGAGCCTTTTCTCAACTTATTTAGTCGACCAGCTAGCTTTCTATAGATGTATATGATACGTTCAAATCTTACGCGGGCTAAGCTGTAAACGAGTAGCGTTAAGGGAAGCGGCTTCGCGCTCGCCTTCGTCTGACACTCAGTTACCTTAGCTATAGTTGTTTAATTAACTGTTTCACCGTGACTAGTCGGTCGCAGGCGCCAACTTCGCTATCCCCTCGCGTAACACGAAGACTCCATCTAACTCACTGCTGCTTCTGGTGGTGCTGCTGCTGCTGCTGCTGCTGCTGCTACTGCTACTACTTTAGAATTGTAGTCGTTTCGTCGCGGGTGCCGGCGCCAGTCATTGATGCCGCTGTCGATCCGTCGGCGTCTCGTTCGTCGCTGTCCGTGTCGTCATCGGTAGTCGGTCGTAGCGATGTTCTATGGCGCCGCATTCGCTCCAGCCTACAGAAACGACGGAAACACAGGCAAATCGCAATAGACGTCTAAGGAGAGACTCACGACGAACCTTCTACGCAGACGCTATACTGGCGCGACGGTGTATCGGGACACCGGCGTCCCTGTACGCTCGGTTAAATGATGGCTGGCAGTAGGCGACTTTCGGGTAATGTCCGGGCATGGCGTCAAGAAGCCATACGCGAGGAGCATACGGTTGAACTTCCTTCCTTCCTTTCTGTCAATATCTCGGCTCAGTTACCTGCGTGTGCGTTAATTTGTCTCCCTCTTGGTATATCCACAACATGCACGTCTCCGTGCCTATTCAATATACTATCCGGCAGGATACTGACAACAATGGCACAAAGACTGGGGGATAACTGAGGAAGGCGGACTGAACCAACGCAAACGGAGTTTTGTCGAAGCTGTGGGGAGTGGGGTGTATCGATCGGAAAGGCAGGATTAGGTATTTTCAATATATAGCAGTTGTTTGAGTCGGGGGATCAACGTAAAAGAAACGAGATGCTCAAGGAAAATGGACATACATGTAGTGTGATGGTGAAGCTTTGTTCTAATATGAACTGATCGAAAATAAGCGCAAAATTACTGTTCGTATAGATTGTTGATTGTAATTGAGTCAGTGTCGTAAAATCGTGATAACTGATTGAACTGGTATCAGAAGAACGGCCAGCGCTTTAAAAGCGAGAGTGAGCATGGATGGTCTAAATTTGTTAGTGGTAAAGGGCGATTTCGGCGAGCACGTGTCTATCAAAACTAAGTTCAAAGGTTTGTCTAATTATCTGGCATTGTATCATTTTGTTGTCCAGCTTTCAGTACAGCAGTAACCGCATAGTGAAGTTGACGTACGCTTCAATTAAAAGTGTAAACAAGTATCTGTGTATATTGGTACACTGTAAAGGTCAGAGTTTTATGGACTTAACAACTGCACATATCTGTTTTATCTAATTAGCGAACCTTGATTACGATTATTGGCTATTTTCACTTGCTGCAAAAACATTTGATACTCCGTTAGATCAGTCTTTGCCGATACATTGCCACGTCGTCAATAAGAGGTCTTTGATCAGATTTACTCGCTTTAGTAGCACTCTCCGAACGTTTTTTTTTTTGCTTTTTCAAACTACTTCTACTTGTAGTCGATTACCATGGCCACCGGTCTGATACGTCATGGCGCAACAACAAACGTGTGCACGCCAGCATACCCTTCGGCTGAGTCTACGAGGGGCTTCCTATAGTTAGCTTTTTTCCTTCTTGACGGTTACCAAGTCAGTTGAGAGCTATGTCTGTATGTTTCCTGTAATGGCTGGAAACTTTAGCCATCCGCACCCACCGTCATCGATACGAGCAGCGCGTCGGCGTTGGACCGACCTCTTTCCCGCACGCTCTGACGTTGCCGCTGCCATCATAGCTCTAACGACTGTTGTATATATGCATATGTATATATATAGCTGATTGCGCCGTTTTAGCTGACTGTTTGGCCCCGCCCCATCGGAAGCCAAGGGCGGGCAGGCGGGAAGCCTCTAGCAGGCGGATAATACCAGTAAAACAGTTTTTCTACATTTAGCGGCAGCGGCGTATTGCGGCGCTCCATTCGCTCATCTGCTGCCGTTGTGTTTTCTCCAGATGGTGGT